TTGACACGAACGCCAGACGACGGACGATCACAGCGGAGCTAATAAAAGAATTACTTACTTGCCACAGAGAAGTTATTGAGGGGGTCATTTACATCACTTTGTGAGGGTTTTTCTTTGAATCCTATGAAGGAGCCATCAGACTTTAGTACAAAATATCGAGGCCTCCAGTTTTTTATATATTCACCTAGAAAGGTAAAGAAGCACTGGTGGTTGGTGGAATACAGATAAAGAAATGATGCAGTAATATAATACATATTAATTAGTTAATTAGCATATATCCCATCACAAAAATCTCAGAATCTGATTTATTTCTATGATATCTTCATATTCAATTTATTCCCCCACCAATTAATGCACCACTTCTGCCCAAACAAAATGCGATTGTTTTTACACTTACAAGTTGTGCTACTGATTGGAAGGGGAGGATTAGTATTATCAGGGAACCGCTGATGTGATGTTGATTTCTATGAAACTGAATCAATGATTTTATGAGTACATTAGGGATATTAATTTGCATATTATGTAACACAATAAATTAGGGTTTGAAATTTTGTAGAAAGGAATGTGGTTTGAGCCCACTCACAATAATGTACTAATTTGTAGCCAAATATCTTCTACTATGTTACATACATGTACATGTATTAGTCTAGGTTTCCATATTTGTCAACCAATGTGCCCTGTAACAGGACTGATTTGGTAAAGATTCCGAGTCAAAAGAGAATCCCCCAAATCAAGCTGAGTCAGCTTGTTGACTGCTGGGTGGAATCTGTGGTCCAGTCATCAAGAAAAAAAAAAAAAATTGAATGCGACTATTGAGATGACTTGAGGCACAAAAAAAAAAATGTTGTGGTCCCTGATTTCCTTTGTATTTACCCTTATTTTGTTTATAAAACATGAATTTCATTTTACCAAATTACAAATTTCATAATTATAGCAAGATATTTCTTTTAAAATCACTATATATCAATGTATGATTTTCTGTTGCATCAACAACATGCCAGTGAATTAACACGATTTGCATCACAGCAAATGTATGCGCATCAGTGGCGCATCATATCGGCATAGAGGGCACACTGGTGAGCACACACACAAAAGTATTTATTTGGTTACACTGTACTATACCACAAAGCTATAATTTTTGGCAAAAATGTCTGGCAATAAATAATAATATCATCCTATATTTCAGAGGGCAGTGGTCATCAGATTTGGGTTTATAAACATAACCCATGACGCTCTTACTAACAATTTCAATACGACAACAAGTACAAGCTGAATGTAATTTACCCAAAATACTTCGGTAATTTTTTTTTTTCTCATACACTCTGAGCTGAGAAACGAATGTGATAAACGCATACAGTCTTGCATCTGATGTATGCACAACATGACAACCACCCTTTAATTTCATTTTAACGAAACAGGACCTCAAAATAACTAGATCATGTTGGCTACATGCTCATAATATTTTGCAGTATATGATTCATGCTTTGAAATATTTTATGATCGATGTCATGCCCACATAAGGTAACTAACACTGAATATTGCAGGCAGTTAGGTTGACTGCTAATTGCCAGTCATGTACGTGATGAATGTTGGCATTGCCAATGAATCATCTTTATATTACACTTGTATTTCTCTAAAAAATTAATGTAAAAGTAAGCCATATTGACCAGAACAGAAGTTAAGCTTTCTATTGTTGTATTCATATACATGTATATACATAACATAGTAATTCGGTCAGGAGGAATTCTATTTCTAAATTGGTCGTTAACATAAATAATAATATTTTCAACTTTCAACAAACAAAATAGTACTAAATTTAATATAAACCAATCCAGTTTATTTCATGGAGTAATACCTTGATTATTTTTTATGTGTTAAAACCATCAATCAATAACTACAAGGAATGAATGCTGTATTTTCTCTATTACATTTTTGTAGTATGAGGTGGTATAAGAAATATTTGAATGATTCAGTACAAAATAAATATAACTGTTAGTTTTCTTGAAAATGAGTGTAGGAACTACCATATTTTCTCTATTACGGTAGTAACACACGTGCTTACTTAAATGACAGACATGCGTCCATGGTTATGATATAGACTACATATTCTATAGTCACATTTAATGTTCCAATACCAATTTTTGTGTTTTAAGCACTTCTATTGGAGTTGTGCTTCTAATAGAACAAATACGGTATACGACATTACCCCATGTTTAAAACTAGGTCGTTATTTTAACGTGGCCTACATTTCACAATCAACTGTTGCTGGCCATGGCAATATAAAAATATAAACTAGAAAATATGTCAAATACAAAGTGTAATGTTTTTACACTAATAGGTACGACTTTTCGATGTTACCCATGTTTTGAGTACTCACTGTTTCCAAAATCACTATTAAACAACATTAAAAAAATGAGGTCAGTGATGTAGCAACATTTGCCACATTATTGGAAGCAAAGTGAAAACGATAAAAAATGGCGACACAATTGAAACAAATTGAGGTCAATGGTTCACAGATCTGCTCGGGTAAATAATTGTTATCATTATTCTAAAACTGACAAACCTGAGCAAAACCTATCGCGAGTGATAATTAGCTACAAAAAATATTAGACCAGAGGGTGTATTCCATTTATATGTGTGGTAAAATTTGATGGCAGAACCATACACTTGCGTCATATTGTAATGCCCATTTCTGTCAAGAATCAGCTTAAAAAACATAGATGACATGATAAACTCAGCATTTCTCAAATGAAAAAACAAAGGGCTACACAAACATGGAAAATCATGATTGCCACAATCAACTCCAAAGGACCTTACTGTCGTCACATATTTAGACAAATTTATGCGCTAAATCAGATCCAAGGCATAATATTGACGGGATTTTAACATAACGTCAACTATCAAGGAGTGTTTCTCATTTATATGACAATACATGATAACAATCTAATGATGGCGAGACCATGTACAAAATGTAATTCTGCCCATCAGGAAATGTTGGTTCAAAAATACATGTACGGTACTCACTCATCCGCTAATCAACAGAAAAGTTATACTTTCATTCATTTGATGCGTTGTTTACTGACATTTTTCTGCGTGCAAATATTTTTGATTTATACACGTTATGCAAGAAACGTTGTGTTGCTTTTAAAAATTAGTAAACATTGCATCATTTATGAAAATAAAGCAAACTGCCTAAAGACAAATGCAATTGTTGGGGGTAAGTAAGGGACGACGTCAAAAGATCGATGTCGGCTAAAAAACTTAATTCCTTTAGTTTTTTTCCAAACCCCCCTACTGAAACTTAATTG